GGAGTCCAAAACTAGAGGGCATAGGTTTAAGGTGAGAGGGGAAAGATTTACAAGAGACTTACAGGGCACCTTTTTCATGTAGAGGATGGTGCATGTATGGAATGAGCTGCCAGAGGAAATGGTGGAGGCTGGTACAATTACAGCATTTAAAAGGCATCTGGATGGGTATATGAATAGGAAGGATTTAAAGGGATATGGGCCAAATGCTGCCAAATGGGGCTAGATTTATTTAGGATATCTGGTCAGCATGGACGAGTTGGACTGAAAGGTCTTTTTCAATGCTGTATATCTCTATGACCCTTAAGTTAGTGAGGCATGACCTCCCCCGCACAAAACCAAGCTGCTTATCGCTAATCAGTCCATTTGCTTCTAAATGCTTATAGATCTTGTCCCTGAGAATCTTTTCCAATAATTTCTCTACCACTGACGTGAGGTTCAGAGGCCTGTAATTTCTTGGGTTATCCCCTTTACCCTTTTTAAACAATGGGACAACATTAGCTATTCTCCAGTCCTCTGGGACTCCCCTGTGGCCAAAGAGGATGCACTGATGTCTGTCAATGCTCCAGCAATTTGTTCTCTTGCCTCCCTCAGCATTCTGGGATAAATCCCATCAGGATTCTGGATTTATCTATCTTAATACTTTATAAGACGCACAACACCTCTTCCTTTTTAATAGCAACTTGGCTTAGAAATTTGATACTCCCTTCCCTGAGATCATCCTCCACCAATTCCTTCCCTTTGGTGAATACTAATACAAAGTATTCGTTTAAGACCTCACCTACATTTTCTGGCTCCACACATACATTCCCAACTTAGTGCTTGAGTGGGCCAATGCTTTCTCTGCCTATCCCCTTGCTTTTTATATATGTATAAAAAGCCTTGGGATTTTCCTTAATCATGTTTGCTAACAACTTTTCATGGCCCCTTTTAGCTCTTCTGATTGCTTGCATAAGTTCTTTCCTGCTTTCCTGATATACTTTAAGAGCTTTGTCAGTTCCTGTCCTCCTAGATCTGCTCCCTTTTTCCTTTTTGACCAAGGTCATAACGCCCCTGAGCGCCTAAGGTTCATGTAACTTGCCGTACCTATCCATCATTCTCGCAGGAACATGCCGCTCCTGAATTCTTATCAACTGCCATTTGAGATATTCCCACGTATCCAGTGTGGATTTACCCTCAAATAGCTGCCTCCAATCAACATTCTCCAGGTCCTGCCTAATATTTTTGTAATTTACTTCCCCCCAATTTAATGCCTTCACCCAAGGGCTGCTGTTACATCTATCCATGAGTAATTTGAAACTCAGGGTATTATGGTCACTACTCCCAAAATGCGCCCCCACTGAAACTTCACTCGCCTGCCCAGGTTCATTTCCCAAAACTGGGTCCGGTATAACCCCTTCCTGGTTGGACTGATTACGTGCTGTGTCAAGAAACTTCCATGAATGGTCCTTACAAATTCTGCTTCATCCAAGCCCCTAGCACGAAGTGAGTCCCAGTCAATAAAGGGGCAGTTAAAATCACCCACAACAACCCTGCTGTTTTTACGTCTTTCTAAAATCTGTCTACGTTTTCTATCCTCTATCTCCTGCTGGGTGTTGGGAGGCCTGTAGTATTCCCCAGCATTGTGGTTTCACCTTTCCTATTCCTTAGTTCTACCCATACTGCCTTGCTGTATCCTCCCTTAGTACAGCTGTGAGATACTCCTTTACCAGTAATGCAACTCTACCACCCCTTTTACTTCTCTTTCTATCACATCTGAAACATCTAAATCCTGGGACATTCAGCTGCCAGTCCTGTCCCTGTTTCAGCCAAGTCTCTGTAATCGCAATAATGTCAGAGTTCCAAGTACTAAACAAAGCTCTAAGTTCATTTCCCTTGCCAATTATACTTCTTGCATTGAAACACATGCATTTCAGACTATCTCCCCTGCTCTTTTCAACAGCATATTCCTGCCTGTCCTTCGTCGTGTTTGCCCTGGTTTCTACCTCTCCCTCAATTTCTGCATCTACTGCACTATTCCTCTGGTTTGAATACCCCTGCTACTGTAGTTTAAACCTTCCCCAAACTGTACCAAGTACCAGCCCTAGAACATCAATCCCGGTCCTGGCCAGGTGTCACCCGTCCAGTTTGTACAGGTCCCACTTCCCCCAGAATCGGTCCCAATGCCCCATGAATCTGAAATCCTTCCCCTCACACTGTCTGTCTTTTCAGCCTCGTGTTCATCCTGTATATCCTCCTGTTTCTACTTTGACTAGCTCAGGTAGTAAGCCTGTCATAACCACTTTTGAGGTCCTACATTTTAACTGTCTTCCTAGTTCTCTGCAATCTGCTTTTAGGATCTCATCCCTTGTTTTTTCCCGATGTCGTTAGTATCAACATGTACCATGACCACTGGCTGTTTGCCCTCTTTCCAGAATGTACTGCAGCTGCTCCAAAACATCCAGGACCCTAGCACCAGGGGAAAAACACACCATCCCGAGCTCTCGTTTGCAGACAGAGAAACGCCTATCTATTCCCCTTAAGATTGAATCCCCTATAACTGTAGCATTTCTATGCTTCTATCTCCCTCCCTCTGCAGCAGAGCCAATCATGGTGGTTCTGTTATTCCCTGAGAAGCCATTCCCCTCAACAGTATCCAAAATGGTGTATCTGTTTTGCAACGGAATAGCCATAGGAGATTCCTGCACTGCCTGCTTAGCCCTCCTGCTCTGCCTGATGGTTACCCATTCCCTTCCTACAGATTACTCTTGTATCTAAACCAAGGTCATCAAATGGTGGGGGAATCCACAAAGGTGATCTCTCTACTCTATATGTGCATTAATTTCAGTCAAGCAATCAGTGCAAAAGTAATGTTTCAAGGTATGGTGTCAATTGGGAATACTCTCTTCAGTGACTGTACCATGAGTGCCATTCTCTCTAATCTTGTTGGTTCTAATCAAGACACAGTTTTAGTAAGATTTCCTTCGTCGGTTAATTTTTGGAGACTTTAAGGTAAGCAGGCATTGGTGTGCTGGCAAGTAATTCAGGATCCCAGGCTATTGTTCTGGGAACATGGGTTTGAAACCCATCAAGGCATATGGCAAAATTTGAATTCATAAAAATCTGCAATTAAAAGCTAGCCCAATGGCGACCATGTAACCACTGTCAATTGTTCTAGAAACTAATTCCTTTAGGGAAGGAAATCTGTCATCCATACTGGTCCAGTCTACATTTGAATCCACACCCACAGCAATGTGGTTGAGTCTTAACTGCCCTCTCAATTAGGGATAGGCTATGAATGCTGGCCTCATCCCATGAATGAACAGAACAAAAACACGCATGGATAGGTAAAGAAAGATGATAGTTCCCCTTCCTGTAGAATAGGTGTGCTGTTTGAATTTCCCCATCTCACACAATCTAGTATATCTGCTCTGTAATGGTTTCTGTCCCACTTTGAATGCAGATCAGGGGAATGTTTTGAGAATAGATTTGACTCCTGAGGATTTTAATAGCAAAGTTAGGTTTTTGTCATTGCATTCAATGAAACAGGAATTTTAACCTCCTGAGCCATTTAAAACTATTATGAAGAATCCTCATTAATTTGAAGCATTTATCTGTTGTGTATGATGTAGTGTAGTTTAATTTAAGAGCAGTCAGATGCAAGGAATTCTGCAGGAAGTAATTCGCCTTTTATCTTTCCAATGCATGACATTTGTAGTACAGGCACAACTTGGGAGTGTGATAGGATACTCTCCACGTGCCTGGATGAAAACATGTCCGTAATGTTCAAGAAGCTCAACACCATCCAAGACTAAACAGCCTGCTTGATTGGCACCCCATTTAACAAATTCAAATTCACTCCCTCCACCACTAATGTATAATGTCAGCATTGTGTACCAACTACAAGATGCATTGCAACAACTCATGAAGCTTTCTTTGATAGCACCATCCAAATGAATGACCTTTGCCATCTCAAAGGACAAGGACAGCAGATCATAGATCATAGAATCCCTACAGTGTGGAAACAGGCCCGTCGGCCCAACAAGTCCACACCGAACCTCAAAGCGTCCCACCCAGACCCACCCCACTATAACCCACCTAATCTACACATTCCTAAACACTACGGGAAATTTAGCATGGCCAATCCACCTAGCCTGCACATCTTTGGACTGCGGAAGGAAATCGGAGCACCCGGAGGAAACCCACGCAGACACGGGGAGAATGTGCAAACTCCACACAGACAGTCGCCCGAGAGTGGAATCGAACCCGGGTCCCTGGCGCTGTGAGGCAGCAGTGCTAACCACTGAGCCACTGTGGGAACAACACCCACCTGCGCGTTCCCTTCCAAGTCTCACGCTATCCTGACTTGGAGCTATATCATCACTCCTTTTCTGTGACTGAGTCAAAATCCTAGAGCTCCCTCCCTAAAAACACTGCAGGTGTACCTACACACTTGACTTGCTGTGTTCAAGAAGGCAGCTCATCACTGCTACCTGAGGGGTATTTTGGGATGGGTAGTAATATTGACCCAGCCAGCAGTACCCACATCCTGTGAAAGAATAGGAAACAGTGAATCCTTATGTTACGAGGGATGTCACTGATTGCAAACCTCACTGACTGCAAAATGTATCATCTGTGATGTAGTAAGAAAGCTAAGTTAATGGGAGTTGACAAAACTAAACATAGTACATGATAGAGTTATTGTAGTGCCATTCCTTGTTCAAATGAATTCTTCTAAGCTATTGTCAGGATATCAACACACGGTTCAAACTGCATAAATCTTCATTCCTTCTAACCATTTAAAAAGGAGTACAAGGTTAAATTCTCAATGATTTGTTGAAAATGCTGTGGGACGTTGCTCACCCCCTTATCAATCTAAAATCACAAATGAGCTTTTGAAGAAACATAACTGCATAAATATATATGCACTGCTAGTGACTCAAAATGAAAAACATATGATATGAAAGGTAGGAGTAATAAAATATTGATACACCTGACGTTTTTCTCCTCCATCTTCATCGCAGATGATCCACAATTACATGGAGCACTTGGAACGAACTAAACTTCACCAGTTGCTCGGGACAGACCTGCAGGAACCTGGAGTTCATAACAGAATTAGGTAAGCATTCTCACTTGTCCTGTATCCTTTTCAGCAGAATAGAAATATTGATGCATTTCTGGAACGTGATCAATGACCCAATTGTCTAATGACAGAGCAGTGAACAATAGTTTGGCTGATGTTGGACAAATTCATTGTCTAATAGAGCTGGTGCTGGTTAATAGGTTGAAGATAAAATAATTATGCTGAGAGCACTGATTTAATAGTTGTGATATTGTTGATAAAAACATCTTTTCTATTTTTAATATTTTAAAAGGGTGATTCTAATCTTGAAAGCTTGTACTATTGAGTATACCATGTGAGATCCCATTCTGGCTATTTGCGATGAATAATGAGAGTTCCTTTTATGTGCATCTGTTACGTAAGCTGTGTGTTTTTGCAGCCAATGAGCAGGTTAGCTGAGAGGGGATGGATAACTGAGTGATGGTTGCTAGTGCTGCAGCAGTGATGCTGAGGTGATCAGCTTTGATTTTTAAGTATTAGCAGAATGATGTCATTCTGAGTGAGCTGCTGCAGAATGTAGCTCACTGGGTGTGCTGATGGCATTGTTTCGAGTAAACGCTTTTGTGGCTGTGGTTGAGTGACAGATTTTTCATTCCAAGGATACACCCTCAACCCCTGTGTAATCTTCCCCTTGGTGTTCTGGTCTCCGAACACAACCATGCCAGCACAGAGCCATGAGTCCTGGTTGCATGCTTCTGTTTGTGTTTGGCTTTGTTGGCGGGGCGGTGGTCATTAATTCAGCTATCCTGGTATCGCTGTCTGTTCTGCTGCTTGTGCACTATTCCGTTTCAACAGGCCTTTCAGTACTGACACAGAATCTTCCGAGAAAAATCAGGTACTTACTGGTCCTGTGGCCTATCTCTTCTGTGCCTAACTGACGGAACCTTCCATCTTTATATTATGTATCTACATTAAATCAGTATGTCTCTTCTATATCCCCTACGGGGTTTGCTCCTTCTTAATAACTTGTTAAAATGCTTTTTAACCGAATTATGAATTCAAATCCACATGCTCTTTTGCATCATTTTATGTATTTATGAATTGTTTTTAAATATCAAACATAAGCATAGATTGTATTTATTGAAAGTATTACAAATTGTGATCATTGTTGTATTGTTCGTATCCGATTTTAAAAAAACTGCTTGTTTCTGAAAATTTAAATACAGTGAATGGTTGTGTTGTACTACCAGGCATTCTGTGATATCTGTACACAGGGTTGTCTGTGAAAGTAGCAGACTAGTTCTATTTAGAAATAATTGTACTTTTTGTTACTTTTTTAATACAAGGACATAAACTAGCTTGTAGGTTGGGAGCAATGTGCAGCAATGAACAGTTCATATTCAGGTTGAAGACCTTAGTGTTGTGCATGTGCACATCTTGATATAAATCTATTACAGTCATCAACATGTTTATTTCATTATTTTACATTGATAGCTTTGCATCACTTTATTTATTAGAGTGCCGCTGATTAAGTTCCCAGTCTGTTCTTTGGATAAGTGAAGGTGCAGGCATTTATTTTTCAGATGAGAATTGAAAAGCAGTGCGGAAAGCTCTAGCCTGCTACATGTTAACTTCAAGCAGTCAGTCTGCAAGTTTAACTAGTTTTCTGACTGCACTGGCATTTAAAATCATAGAAATAAGTCTTGCTTCTGTACTTAGGCACCCATTTTATCAATGGTTGCAGTAGTTTCATGTTATGATTGTTCCACTTGCATTTCAGCCTTCTTTCCAGTGTTCGGTTTTCAGCATATATGTAATTATTAGTATAAGAGCTGATAATTCTGATGTTTTATGGTTAGTGCCAGCTGATAAATAATATAGCAGTTGAAATCCTTCACTTCAAATTGCAACTGAAGAGTTAAAATGAGAACTATTAGGGCTGCTAGTTGTTAATTATTCATGTGTAAATTTACATTGAAAAGAGTCACAACTTGGAGCTGCCCTGTTTGTGAGCTTACAACCATTGCCAACAGAAAGAGTTGAATTTTAACGTGGCCGTGTAAATTATCCGTCTCGGTTAATCTTGAGGTTGTATATTAAATTGATTTTATAATTCTTAAAATAAGTTTTAAATTGCATTAACAGCTCTGCCATGAACCAACTGTGAGTTTGTCAGTTTGAAACCTGCCCTTTAAACCTGTGATTTCCATAATATGGCTTGGAAGATACTTGTGATCCAGTTTCCCATCTCTGGCCTCCAGCAGACTTGCTATTCAATGTGTGTCTGGGTTTTTGCCTACAACTTTTCAACTGTTATGTTGCTGCAATTGTGACAAATAAGCTAATGCAAAAGGACATAGGTATTTAGGTACTGGGGTTAAGGCCCTCAACAATCTACTGCAACTGGAAATAAAGTTCCGAGTACAATGCAAATGTTTTGGCCATATTCTGCCATCAAGGTATGAACAAATGATTACTAAGTAGTTTGCAATAAAATAAGGAATAGTAAATGCTGAAGATCCGAAACAAACTGCTAGAGAAACTCAGCAGGTCTGGCAGCATGTGGACAGAAAGCAGAGTTAACATTTCAAGTCCTGTGACCCTCCTCCAGAACTCATCGTGAACTCTGTTTTCTTAAAATAGTTTGTGTTCATGTATTCGTTTGGACTTGATTTGCGCAGTTTTAGCTTTTCTAATATTGTTTAATTTTTAAGAAGTGTACCTATTTGCAAGATGTTTTCTCTTGCACTAATGTTCCTCCAAGAGTTCTTGTATGCTCAATCTGACCATGGTGTTTGAGCTAATGTTAAAATGGTGGACACAGGTGCATGCACATTGTACATGGCATTGATGAGTAATGAAACCCAAACTGGGAATAGACAGATATGTTCCTTGATTTTTGCTCGTCAAAGTTTTACAGTAAAAGTGGAAAATTTAGCCTGAGTTAAGATGGGAGAAAGTCTTTCACTTACAGCTTTATTGCTTGATAGAGGCACAATTCTCCTAAGTTTATTCGTCTTGTACCCTGTCTTGACTTTTCAGCTGTATTGTTTCTTCTTTCCTCCCAGGTTGCTTCCTCAATGGGTCTTCATGATTTTTTTTTTAAATTCACTTGCAGAATGTCGATATTGCTGGTTGGGCTGGTATTTATTGCCCATCCCTAGTTGCCCTCTGCTTAATGTACTATTGTTGAAGATACAAGTGAACATGATTTTCAAACAGTGGAGGCTTCAGTTCATTTCCACGATAACAAAAAAAAGACTTTTGAGACAGTCCAGAATACATACAAATCTTGTGTGACGTATTTGGTTCACTTCTGGTGGAAACCATTATTTAAGTGTCACTGGGAAATAAATAGGCATAAGAGAATTTTTGGATGCATTGGAATTAAACTTCTTTCAGGATGTCTGTTATTAGTATATGCTGTCATTTCCCATGATTTTTGTTGACCACACTTTTTTATCTCTTTTTGTAACAAATGCTTGGATTTATTTGGCATCATGTAGCCATAATGCTTCATTGCTTTATCTAGTTACTTGTTGAAGTGTGCGTGCTTCATGAAAGATGTTGATGTTAAAGAGATGCATAATTGATTTACCAAAATAATACGAGAGCCTAAGGTCTTAAATCCTGAGAACAGTTTGTATGGATTTAGAATGTAATCTCCTGAGTTGAGAATGTGAAGGTTATCTCATTAGGATGTTTAAAGTAATAAACTAATTATTTTCTATCCACTATTTATCCCTTATTTATCATTACTTTGAACTAAGACAAATGATCGAGTCATTGTGTCGGCTCTTTTTGGGACTGTTCTGTGTGCAAATCAGTTGCCACATTTCTCACATTTCAAAACTGTACTGCAAAATCTTTTAAATTGCTGTAAAGCACTTGAAAAATTCTCAAGTTGTGAAAGGTACTAGATTAATACAAGCTCTTTCTTTTAGTCATAGAGAAGCTTTTTTCTCTGGGGATAATCATAACAAAGAGGGCCAATCTTAAGTGTAGCCTGCTCATTTGAGAGTGAAATTGGGAATTGCTCTTTCACAGTTAGGGTCGTGAAATATTGAATATTCCTTCTTAAAACACTGCAGATGCTGGATGAGATGAACTTTTCAGAACTGAGATTGATGGATTTTTGTTGAGTGACAGTAGTGCAGGATTCAAATCAAAGAAACATGAACTGAGTTAAGTCACAGATCACTGAGCCTGTGATCAATTTGAATGGTAAAACAGGTAGAAAATGAATGCCCAATTTCTAGTCTTGTGATTTACATTGTGCCATAGGATTATCCATGAATAGTGTTGTTTTATGTCTTGTCCAAAGGATTGTACATCTGGCAGAGCACCACTCTCTGATTTACAGTACTAAACTGTTGACCTGGATTGGTGGCATAAGTGCTAATGTCATTGAACAAATATCCAGAGGGCCAAGGAAATACCAAGGACACTGGTTCAAATCCCACAACAGTAGCTGATGAATTTTAAATTTTATTGATAAAATCTGGAATTTAAAGACTAATCTCAGTGATGATGACCAGTGATGAATATCATTAAAATCCGTGTCCTTTATGGAAGACAATTTATTTGGTTTAGCCTCTGTATGACTCTTAAGCGCACTTTGAATTAACCTAGCAAGCCAATTCAAGGATCATTAAAGATAGACAACAAATGCTGACCTTGTCAGTGATGTCCACATTGTATGAAAGAATTTTTAAATTCTATAGGATTCCTATATAATGAATTACTGATGTGAGCTTGCTTTCTGACTCGACGGATGCTAAATCTAATTGCATTTACTGTATTGTCTAAAGACTTGTGGATTTATTTTAAATCTTTAATTGGTTTGTTTTGGTCAGATTTTTTGCAGTCACCCATTTTGTAACCAGATCTAAATATGAATGACTACTGTTCTCTGCAACTACTCCCATAATTACTTAAACCGATAGCTAAAGAAATTGTAATGTAGATGAGATATGGAAAATTCCCATTTGGCTTGCCCCCTTCCTGTTATGAATTACCACTAAGTGGATTATGTGCTGTTACAGTGGATAGTCTAA